GTTCAATGGAACATTACCAAAACTAATTTATAATATTTATTTACGAATTAAAAAACTTTCATTTTTCTCGTTGAAGAGTTTAGTGACCATTGAATTTCAAGTCCATTAAATGTCAAGGTAGCATCTTACAATTATATAGATTCATCTATTGAATAACAAATAGATTTGTTACCTCATTCAACATTCTCATTGTGGATGCTCTACGACAACATGGATAATTTTGTTGGCCCATTTATTCCGCTGATGATATCATAATTGTTATGAACATACCAAAATTATAGGACATGTCTCAAACATTTGAAGTTGATACAAAAATTCTTCATAACTTATGGAAAGTAAAAAGAATAAATGGTTGACAACTAGAGAAACCAAACATGCTACAAAAAAATATTGTTTCATTTTCCTCAAGTTATCGTAATCTTTGAAGATTTTTTTAGAGCGTTGGATTTTAAGAAGGATCGAGGGTGTTTTCTATTCTCTTGTCGGATATTATTGTATATGGTATTTGTTTTCTATCAATTTTGCATTTGACCTTAAATAAGTTATCCTTGTTGATTGACTCGATCATTGGTAGTTCAACATCATCTTCAAATCTAGAAGGAAAAAAAACGTCCAAAAACAACATTAATGATTTTGCTTCAAAAGCTATCACAAACATGTGGGATAAAGAGTTATGGTTGGAATATATGGATGTTTCTCGGTGTGTGAATCTTCAATGTATGAATGAATAAATAGGTTGGTGTGCGAGTTTAAAGGAGATAGACATGAGGGAATGTCCAAGCATTAAGAGGTTGTCAAGATCGATTAAGTGGTTGAGATCATTAAGAAGAGTGATTTGTGATGAAGAGGTTTCATGGGAATGGAATGAAATGGGGAAAGAGTTGCATGGTCTTTGTGTTAAAGTGGCAGATCATAGCTTTGGTCTGGACCGGGTTTACTAAGTATATAAGCCACTCTTGTTGTCTTTGTTTTATGTACTTTTTTGATGGTAACTTGGATAAAATAGTTTGAAATTATATTTTGATCAAGAGTCATCATTTTCTTAGTAACAAGATCATACATCATGCATACACATGATAAATTTTATGAAATATTGTTTATACGCGTTTCTTAGTATGACATATGTGTCAGGGGTGTGCATGAATTAATCGATCCAATTCGAACCGACTGATCAAATTATAAATTTGCTGATTATATTGTATATTTAATCACAATTGGATGGATCACTTTAAATTTTCAAAATCCAATTGTATTGGATCGGTGGTTCTTGGATGACCTTAAAAATCTAACGGATAACAGAACCAAACCGATATAACATTCATCTAATGTTATATCCAATTAATGTTATCCAATAGATATCTAATTACCATCCATCTGAAGTTTACAAGTTTCTAACTTTTTTCTATCTTATTTTGATCGAACTTTAAACCTTGGTCGTTGAAGCTGAAGTGTCTAGTCTTATTAAACGTAATTGTGTATGGTTTTAGTTTTATTTATTGTTAGTGTACACCATATGGGTGCGACATGGTCCCTTATGTCAATATATATGATGGAGTCCCCTACTCTCCATAATAGTTATTTTAGAAAGACAATTGTGGGTTACACATATATTTATATGGTAGCAGAGCCGGTGTCACAAACCCCCGTGGCTCAGCACATCCATCTCTATATTCATACTCATCAAATGTCCAAATCTGAGAGGGAGTGTTAGTGTATCCCAGATTGGTGCGACAGAGAGCTTATTATATGAGATTCTACATATGTCTTACAATATCATAATTATATTTGGTTGTTATTGGATAAAAACTAGATTAGAATTTGTTGTATAATGGATAACTAATCAAATATACCAATGGATAAAACCGATCTAATTCAACATCCAATTGGGTCGGTTCAATTCGGTGGTATATATATAACGAACTGGATTGGATCGGTTCTATCAAAATTTATTGGATTTCAACGAACAATTTATTAAGTGAGGGCTTGAATGATAGGAATATGACAGTAGAAAAATGTTGCAATCGAACTACTTTGAAACTTGAAAATGACAGTCTGGTTTCTTGTGAAGTTATAATTCTATTTTTAGAGCATTTATTATTTGTTTCAAGGACCTTATTTTCCATGCTTTTGAAAACATGTTGGGTGTAGATTTTTTTAGCTAATGTCACATCAAATATATTTATATGCATAAGCAAAGAATATAGTCATCCACTTCCTACTTGCTTTTAAGTTTTAACCAAGGTTGTTGAGATTGAGATCTTATTTAAGATCATTTTAGGTTTTGCAAGACCGTGATAAAAAGATCCTATCAAAATAAACTTATATTCAAATTTGCTCACATGATATTGGAAGTAAAGTATACATTATAACTTGATGTTGATTAAGATGTCAATAGTGGAAACAAGTTTAACTTCTTAAGCATGAACCATAATTTTTGTTGCTACAAACAGTAACAATTAAGAAGAAAACATCTTAATTAGAAAAGACCATATTGATCATATACAACTAAAGGCATAAGATCACTAACTGAATATTATGAGTGTGCTCTTCTTGATTTGAGATGAATCAATGAAATTGTGATGCTCTACAAGACTTTTTTGCAACTTGCATACTCGATTTCAAGTTGAGTAGACAATTTTTGAGACTCAACTATATAATAAAATTAAAGAGGTGAAACCAGGATCGTAATGTGATCGAGATTGTTTTTCACTTGTAGGATCTTAAAATCGTAAGATCTTATAATTAAGATCGGGATCTTAATAACTATGGTCTTAACACCTCTCATGTTTCATCCTCCACAATTCTTGCATTTAAACAGCCTTCAAAATCAATATTATGAACTTGTATTGTTTTGTGATTTGTAAGTTATGAAGTTCTAGTATCAGATTGTTGATTTCTCTTCACAAAGCAACCATGGAAAGAATCAACCTGATGGATATTGTGTTTAGTCTCAACTCTCAATTCCCCCAATGAGATGAAATCATATGCATATCCATAGTTAGCTATCCAGATTTTATTTGAAGTCTATTTCTTTCTAGCATTTTTGGTATCCATATTTAGCAATTTCCTAATAACACACGGAGAGAGACATTTATAATTTGTGAGATATCATCGTCGTGTTATTAAAATGGTAAGTAGGTGGATGAAAATTCTGTAATGCATGTTTGTGCTATGATTTTGACGAAAACGCGTTACTTTGTATGACCATATGAATTATGATGTGTGCTTTTGTACGATAGCAAAATGCCATTGGATAATTTGCTCTAAACAGAAAAAAAATATCTAATGAATTAAAAAAAAAAAAAAAAAAAAAAAAAAAAAGAAAAAGAAAAGGGCACTTTGGTTTCATGTAAAGATGTATAATTATATTATCTACTCTGGTTTGTCAATGCGTTGAACGTTGATCTGTTTCCTAGTTCAATTTTCCACGCCTTTGGAATAATGGTTGGTGTAGTTCGTTATTAGGTATGTCACATCAAAAAATTTATTAAGAAAAGCATAAGCAAAGAATCAATGTTTGTCATTGCTATTTTATAATAAACTAGTAATAAATAACCAAGCATGTAACAACGGATTAAATTGTATTCTATTAAGTATTAAGACGTTTCCTTAGGTAGGTTTACATCCGGCTATTGCAAAATATTGAAGATTGTTTTGAACAATGTGATATCTTCGTATGGTGGTTTAGCCAAACTCTACATACATTCGTTGTGGTATCGATTCACATCACACTGGACCACAAATACATGATACATTGAATATTAAGGTTCTTGAAAAGGATGTCAAGGTCTTTCGTATATGGCATGCCTCGTTAAAAATTCCACATCCTTTATATGCATATCAACAAAAACTTTCTATAATATCTTTTAAAAAGATTCAACAAATAATAATAATAACAATACCAAACCGATTTATCATATTCGTTGCAGTTGAAGTTGTGTCACTATGAGTCCATAATAACTTTCCAGATATATAAACTTGGTCTTGTATACTTTGTTTTCGTTTTGGTACCGACTAGGGGTTTACCAAACTGGTCTCAAACGAGGCCGGTTGACCGCCTGAGACCAATCCCAAAAAGAAAAAGACTAGATTGTTCTGAGACTCTTCTAAAAAAACAGATAGATTTCAACCAAACAAATTTATAAATCGGATCGGTTTCAGTTTTCAAACAGTTTCGGATCATGAATCAGTTTCTTTTTGCACCTCTAGGAAAAACATTTGTTATTTTTGGACTGATAATGAATCTTGTCTGTGGGCTGGACTAGAGGCAAATTGTTTTGGGATTATGGAGTGGGTTTGGAGGTATTACAAGATGGGGCGTAACAACTAACGTGTAACACCTTGGATTTTTATTCATCCATTTATCATATGTATTCACACTTAAGTAGTCAAGTGTAATAATATACATATATAATAAGGTGTAACTATGCTTTAAAAATCGAAAAGATAAAATGTTGATTTAATAATCGACACATCAGTATTATATCAACGTAAAATTTATATTTTTAAGTTCAATTTAATCATAAATTAAATACTTTTTGTTATAATAATATCATAAGACTATCTTTCCGTGTTTCACAATTTGCTTATTTTTTTTTTAGTTTGGTCTTTTGAGTTTGTCATATTTTGCAAACCAAACCAAAAAAAAATAACTGATAAACTAGTTTTTTAAAAGCTAATCATAATAGCTTTTCAACTAACTTATACATTTTTTTTAATTTTCCTATATATATATACCCTTTATTAATTACAATAAACATACATTTCTAATACCCTCATATAATCAAATTTTTACCAAACATTATTTTTTATCAGCTTAATACCTATCAACTTTTCAGCTAATGACAAACATAGCCCAAGTAAAAGTGAATTAGATTGTTCTGTTTCGAAACCGAGTAGAAAAGGAACGGTTGGATACAATAAGTGTAACACCAATCCAATTTGAAGGCAAATATTTTCAAGTGTTAGAACAAATAAATGTTCCGGCATCAAAATTCTACTCAATCACCTTTAAAGACTACAAGAATGACTGATTTCGTTTCATCTGTACTCAAATTTCATAACAAAACATTCATCAACAAATAAAAAAATGAAGGAAAATACAAATCCTAAAACAGCCGCAACCGACCATCAACACGGTTACCCAGATAGTAGTTATATATTGAAGAACGACTGCAAACTATTCACAAAGCTCAAAAACAATGAGCCAAAAGTTAAACAAAAAAAAAAAAAAAAGAGGGACAAAAACCAAATTGTCAAAAAAAGGAGTCATTCAAGATTCACCCTCTACCAAAGATCAGGGTGACAAGTGTCAAGAATGTGCAACACCTCTTTTCGCTTGATATATCGTGTCTGAAATCTTCGTGGGTGGCCAATAGCGAAACACAGACCTACCCACAATGTTTTTTACCGGAAGTGGACCCCTGCACCATCACATCACAAAAATCATAAAGATTGTAATCTTGATACATGACATATCAGTATCAGTCCAATGCATATCAAACACAGTATAAAAGTCACAAGCTTTACCAGTCGTGCGAGTCAAAACTGTTGTTACGGTTGTCACCCATCACAAAGACATAACCCTCTGGCACAAGCTGAACCACAAACAACATAAACATGATTTGAGATTAAATCTTTTGTTCTAATTAGCATAATGAAGGCTTTATATGGGAGTTGAAGGAAAAGAAGATTACCATAGGTTTCATTTCGTATTTTAATGGCTCTAAGATGAATTCTTCATCTTGTGCTACACCATTCACTAATAGTTTACCTCCTCTTACCTAAAATATGGAACGAATTTAACATCTTGGAAAGATAAATGCTGTGGATAATTCTCTTGAAAAAAGGAGGATGATCATAAATCATAATCTTACCTCAACCCAATCTCCAGCCTTTGCTACAATTCTTTTTATAAATACATCCCCAGAACTGTAACCAAATTCCTACAAGATTATCGATCCAAGACAATGAGCTAACAACAAAACAGAACTATCCAAAGATACTTATAATCAAGAAGTGAAATCGCACCTGAAGAATGGGAGGAGCCTTGAAGATCACAATATCTGAAACTTCTGGCTTCCGAAAGATGTATGAAACCTAAATCAATAACAGGCAAAAACTCAAAATCTTGCATACAATCACTATGTGAATTGAAAAGCCAAAATGGCGAAATTGGCAACCACCATCCATATAGTGTGTAATAAGGTTAGAAACTTAGAATTGGGATTATACCTTTTCGGCCATAATGCGATCACCCACATCAAGGGTAGGGCTCATGGATGCAGAGGGGATGGATCTTGGTTCAGCCAACTGCGATCGGAATAAGATACTGACACTCAAAGCGGTGAAGGCAGCCTTAGCATCATCGGAGCAAACATTCAATAGTTTTGAAAACCAATTGTTCCTCTCAACGATGATTTTGGTACTTGCAACATTGCAGGTTTTCACGCAATCAGTAGTACTCTGATTGGACTTCGTCGAGCTAGTACCGCCTTTATCAACCTCCGTACTGTTAATCTCGTTACATGGGAGCCACTTCGATCCTTGGAAAAACGGAATCATGGAAGACGCCTTCAACGGCGAAATCCCAAAAACACCAGAACCACCACCAACGCCACCACCACCAGCCGTTGACTTTACCAACGAGATCAATCCAACAACGAGGGGAGAAGGTTTGGAGGAGGTCTCAACGCCAAGAAAATCACATGCGAGAGTGGCATACGCCGAAACCGAGCACCTTGAACCCGCCGTTGCTGCCGGACGGTACCCGGCGACGGGATCTCGGTCGGGATTCTGGAATATACGAGGACGAGAAAAAACCTCGTGAAAAATTCGACATGTATTGGATTTTCCGGAGGCGGTGGCTAGGTTTTGGGCCACGTAGCCGGAGTAAGAAACAGTGAATCGGATCGCCATAAACGCAATTTTGATTAACAACAAAAAGATTTGGAAAATTGCTTCTTCGGTGATCAACTGTTGTGACGTGAAAAGAAAACTCACAAAGAAAGTGATCCCATTGAAATTGAAGGAATCAGTGAGATTAGGAGGGTGGGGTTGAATCGAAGGGTAAGATTAGAACAAGAAGGGAAGAATTGGGAGCTGAAAATTGGGGAAAAGGATGAAATCAAAAAACCCCAAAGCTGAAAACAACCTGAGATTTCCTCCGGGAAGCGATGGAGAGATCTCAAGGGTGTGGCGACGAAAGAGACGAGAAGAAACAAGGAAAGCGGAAGCACAAGGGGATAAGTGCTTTTGTTTATACGGGGCGGCTGCGCAATTCCACAACCTAATCACCCCTATTTTTCACAATAATTACAGTAATACCATTCTGACTTTAAGTTAAGATGCGTTTTATAATATTTCCAGTTTTTATTATCTGTTTCGTACGAACGTATTTTGATGTATTATTTTATCAGATCAATACAATCATATTTATGAAGATACATAAATATATGTTTATAACAATGTAATTGTTTAAAAAAATCATTAGAATGTAAACAATTGAAAGTTTGTTTTCCTAAAATACCGTTAATTTAATAGTACTTTATAAAAAAACACTTCTAGTTTAATGACTATTTTAAAATAATGATGTGCTTTGTGATTATTTTCTTAAACATTTGAACTATTATATCGATCTAATCATAATAATCAATTTGAAATCAGTCAACAAAACGATTAAAAAAAATCCTTTTAAATAGGTTTTTAGGAAAAAAAAATAAAAATATGTAAACCACTATCTCATTACTAAACACAAACTATAGTTATAAATTTGTTATGTTTGTAAAGATAATTAACAACTCTACTTTATTATTTTAAAAAAGAGACAAATTTTGACTTGGTATGTATGATTCTTTTGTAAAGATAATGTTTTTATGCCTTCAAATTTGAAATTTTGTAAGAGGATATAGTAATATTTTTTAGAGTAAATTATAAATTTGGTCATTGTCTTATTAAAAAAAAAACTCAAAAGTTCAGTCTAAATTTTTAGATCGCCCATATATTTGCGGTTTGTTTCGGAAATAATCCTTATCCTATATTCTAATGGAATAATTTTTTTTTTAAGTTGTGACTGAATCTTTTCATTCAACCAATATTTTAATTGTCATCGTACAATGAGTGAGATGGCAAACTGGCAACAAACTGTGCCGCTAAGCCTTTTTGAATGGTAAAGCTAATCCTTTTAAAGACTACATCCGAAGATCTAGGGGATATAACATTACTATGCATGATTCGTTGTACTCTTTTAAGAAGCTCTACCACATCCGGTGCGAGGAAACCAAACGTATCAAATGCAAATAGTATGAACACGTGTTGATTTTCCATGCACGATTTCTCATGTTTGGTGACTTTGCCTGTAGCTGCTTTTAAAGCAGCATGTCCCGCCGTGAAACCCCCAGCCTTTAGGCCCACGAGAGGGGATACCCCTGTAAGATCCACACATGCGTGTTTCCCTCCTTCCCATCCAAAAATCAAAATGTCAGCCGGTCTGAGGGTTGACCTTCCTTCTGTTGGGTCAGTCAAAAAATTAACAGGTGCTTCTTTCTTAGCGGAAACCCCGGCACGCTTAAATATGTCAAACAAAACATCCCTAACCATATCGTGCCTGTATTTGAACCCCGGGAGTTCTTTACAGTGAACTGCATGCTCTCAAAAAGAGTCCAAACATGACTTGCGACACACAGGACATATCTCGCCAGCTGGGAATATGGGACTAAACTTGTAATTTCGAGTAAAACATAAAAATTGTATCCTTAACGAAATACAAACATAAAGACAATATTAGGATAATTTCAAAATTTAGACCGCACTTGCATTTTTATATAAAACATAAGGGTCAAATTGTAACTTATTTATAATAAATGTATATGTTTAGAAATAAAATAAATGAGTATTTAAGCTAGTATATCTAACAAATAATAATAAATAAATTTATGTTACAATCATATTCAACCATAAACTTTATATTTCTCTTAGTAATACAATATAGAAATTTTTGCACTGTTTTGAAATATATATAGTTTTAGGGATGTAGTATGAAATTAGAGTCTTGGTATTTAACTATTTATTATCAACAAAGAGTACATTACGAAAGGTTGTGTGGGTTGTTTGTAAATATTTTAACTGAAAGTGATATTAATGAAAAAGACAATAGATGGAAGGGTAGAAGTGAAAACGTCATCGACGAAGCATGTAGAAAGATTGATGACGTAAGCGCATACGGTATCAGCCCTTTTTTAGTTTTGACTGAATCTGGTGGGGATGTTCCCCAGCAACAGGATCATCATCTCTTTACTTTTCTTCTAAAAAAATACTGTAATATAATTGTCAAAACAACCATTTGAAGAAGTAAATGTTGTTAACTAAATAGACATAAACTTCAAATAAAATTACAATTTAGTCTCATTAAATATTTAAATTTTATATATGTATAGTTTTCAGTATTTTATTCTTAATTATAAATAGTATATACTTAAATATTTGAAATGTATTTACTAATTATATAAATTTATAAGCCAATATTAAAAATAATTTATTACAATGAGAAATTAAGTAGTAAGATTCACATAAAATGTAATATCATGACTAATATCGAAAGTTCCTTGCTCGATTTTTTTCAGACTCTCTTCAAACATATCTCACAACAATATATTTTATTTTTTTTGCTTTCATGCCTACATGTGATGAAGTGATCCAGTCCTTTTTCGGCGGGATCACTCATTTGAGTCTATTTTAACCACTTTGCCCATATGTTAATTATGTATAAATAAGATGATCTGTTTTGTTTTTTCAACACTATCTCAAAGAAGTGAAGAACTCTCTAATATCATCTTAATTATAGACAAATATTTGTTCTCAAATCTAATAGTCGTCTTCTCTTCTCGATTTTCAGTAACTTATCTATATTTCTATATATTGTATTTCATATTCTCTTGTTTTTTCAAGTTCGTAGGTGTTTTTTCTTTGTATTAAGAGTTGGCATCAAATTAATTAGGTCATGGGTTTGATATCATTACAATTTTGATAAAATGATGAGAGATATAGAAAGAGTGTGATGTAAGTTTGTGATCTAAGAAGGGTTGTTATTAGACCAATTTGGCAATCCGTAATTAAAAAAGCTTAAAATTCAACCAAGATATGGATATGGAGTAAATCGGTCAAGATTCAAATTTGATTGTATTTAGATGGAACATGATAATGAATATCAGCATGTTTTTTAGGTCTTATTTGTTGATGACTGGTCTAAATTTTCTCAGCTATATGGAGTTTGTGTTTTTTTATGATTGTTGATATGAAAATATGGGATTTAGCAAGAGCGGATATAAAAGAAAGGTTTTCATTATAAAGTGGTGTATCTTGTAAGCTTATGGCGTTGGTCACTTCCACACGATTTTTTATGAGTAACCGGTGGTTCGGTTCTCAAACCGGTTCGGTTCACTGTGGACCGGTTCAGCGTAAACCGGTTTACCGGTTCGGATCTTGAACCGGTTTTTTTGTGCATGCCTAGAGTAAGGTCCTGAGTATATCATATCACAGGAGCCCATCAAAACAGCCCAAAATTGCATTGAAACATATACGGAACATAGTTAACGACTTAACTCCTCTCCTAAAAAATTTACAATTCACCACAATAAAATTATCCTTTAAGAGCTTATTGAGAGACTCGCGCATAATCATCTCTAATAAATAAATGTTTTTTTTGTTACTTTTCACATTCTCATTCAATTTGTCAAATGTCATTTTGTGGTTATTTTGAATAATTTTTTTTTCCACATATCATTTTATGAGTTTTTTCTATTTTATTAAACTTCACATAATATTTTAACGTAATAATTACAATGAATATAGTAATAAATAGATGTTCATTTCACTAATAAACTTACCTTTTAATTTTAAAATTCTCAAAATTAAAGCTCATTACTTTCTTTTCTTTATTTAAATTATTTGTTTAAGTTTAAAAGATAAAAAAAAACATTTCTATTATAATAAATCATTATTTTTTTTATTTCTTATAAATTCAAAATTATCAAATATTTTGACCTTTATATTTAACTTTTTTTTTAAATTAACTCATGTAATAATGGATCTCACAACTAGTGGTTTTATATTCCAAAGTGCTATGTAGTCGTTTTTTTCCAAAAATATGAAAATAAAAATAAAAACATATTTTTTTGGAACCGACGGAATTTATAAAACCACAAACTAAAAAAAAGGGTTGGGCAAAAAAGAAACAAACAACTTTCAGAATGTCAAAAGGAAAACAAATGTTTATTTAGTTGATTTCACTCTAATCTCATAATCTCATATATTTTTGAATATTTGTAATCTCTATTCTTCATTATTTCTTTGATCTTTTGATCAAAACTGACATGCACAACCTTTGGTTAGAGGAGCCTTGACCAACAACGAAGTCATCGATAATATTTGAACAAGATCGGAGAAATAGATATAAAGAAAAATGAAATGGAAAAGATACAAGACAAAAATACATTTAACACACATTTAAATAAATAGTACAATGCATTTATAGATTTACAAATACATTCTAAAAAATATTATATATTTATACGTTGAAATATTTTTCCATAAATGGTCAATGTTTCGTATACTAAAACAGATTATTTTTAAATCCATAATATATAATGAGCAAGAAGCTGGTGAATCAACTATAATCATCTATCATCGTTTCAATGCTTATCAGTGACATTTCATTTGCAACTTCAACTAATACATCAAAATCAAGTTTATCCTTATTATCATGTTATACAATGCACGTAAATTATATGGTTTTTTAGTTAAGTATTCAAAATTTATGTTTTAACAACAAAATAAATATAAATCAATGATACTTTCGGCCATTTTTGGCAATTTTTAATACAAATAAACATGATTGGGAAATTTGGTTGCCTCCTTTCATCATTTCGTAGAGGTACCGGGTGCGTAGTAGAAACTTAGTGCTTAGTTTCATAGCATGCTCATATACTTCCCATTCAAGTAAAAATATAAGTTTATATATAAAGAATAACACGTGAATATTCTTTTTTTTTTTAATCTATAGTATTGAGTATTGACACCTCATATCTAATTAATCTGTGAACTTGAGTCTTCATTCACTGGTTTGAAGTTTGACGGAAATTTACATGGGTGTATCTTAATTCTTAACAATCACCTCAAAAAAAATCTAAATAATCTACGTGGACTTGTAAGCCTTTAAATTTATGAAGAGTCTTTAGAACACTAAGTT